CTGCTCCATTGCCCTGGTTCCGGGACCTCCTCGAGCTCAGGACCCAGTGGGGCTGCCATCTCCCTACCCAGCTCAGCACCGCAGGGCTCGGATCTGGCCTTGCTGCTGGATGGTCCACAGAACATGGTTCCTTTCCCAGAAGCCACCCACACTCACCACCAAAAGGCTGTCCCCTCCCCCTGTGCACCTCCCAAAGGCTTCCCCTGCCAGTCTAGCTTGCTGTATTGCTGGCATTAGGTGTATCTTCTGCCACATCAGTGCTGGGGTTAAGTAAGTCAGGTGGGGTTGGGGTAGGGGAGTTCAGGCCAACCCAGTTCAGCCAAGGGCCCCAAACAAACACAGAGGCCACCTAAACAGGCACGCACCACTGTTCAGGGGCAGGTTCTCTATTAAAACATCATGAGTTGAGATCAGTTCTCAAAGAGCAAACAGCCCAGACAATGCAGCTGTGGCTGGGCCCCTTCCTCAGAGCTCTCTGTGCACCACCCCCAGGTGGCCCTCCCCCTGGCTGGGTGCGGGACCCCCGGCTGCCCCCGTGCACGCTGCACCAGGCTCTCACCTTCTTCCTGGACATCACCTCCCCGCCCAGCCCTCAACTCCTTCGACTGCTCAGCACCCTGGCTGAAGAGCCCAGTGAACAGCAGGAACTGGAGGCCCTCAGCCAGGTTGGGGGCCACCCCGGGAGGGGGCAGAGGCTGGAGAGGCAGAATGAGCTGGGGAGTGGGGTGGGCAGTGGCACGAAGCCCCCATGCAAGGTCCTCCCTGGACTTTCTTCTTCTGACCAAGCGGTACAGGTGCTTTAAAACCAGCTCCTGGGCCGGCCCGTGGCTCACTTGAGAGAGTGCGGTGCTGATAACACCAAGGCCCCAGGTTCGGATCCCATATAGGGATGGCCCGTAGCTCACTGGGTGAGCGTGGTGCTGACAACACCAAGTCAAGGGTTAAGATCCCCTTACCGGTCATCTTTAAAAAATAATAATAATAAATAAATAAATAAAATCCAGTTCCAGAATACCTGATTCATCTGTGGATTCTTGAAGTCTTAAAGAAACGTTTGTTGGCCTGAACTGAGGAGGAGAAACCCTAAGGAGGCCCTTCTGGGGAGGGGTCAAGAAGGGAGGTCACCAGGAAGGGCCAGGGGGTTCCCAGCCCACCGCATCCCACCCCTGCCAGGACCCCCGGCGCTATGAGGAGTGGAAGTGGTTCCGATGCCCCACACTGCTGGAGGTGCTGGAGCAGTTCCCATCGGTGGCACTGCCCGCCCCCCTGCTCCTCACCCAGCTGCCCCTGCTCCAGCCCCGGTACTACTCAGTCAGCTCAGCACCCAGCACCTACCCAGGAGAGATCCACCTCACCGTGGCCGTGCTGGCATACAGGACCCAGGGTGAGGCTGGGAGCTGGGATGGACCTGGCCACAGCAGGACCAGACAGGCCCCTTACTAGCCTCTCTCCTCCTCACCCCCTAGATGGGCTGGGCCCCCTGCACTATGGAGTCTGCTCCATGTGGCTGAGCCAACTCAAGGCTGGAGACCCCGTGCCCTGCTTCATCAGGGGGTAAGTGAGCACTGGGGGAGGGGGGCTTCAAGAAGAGAGTGTCTGCCCAAGCAGGGGCGGGGAAGGTGCACGATGGCGGGGACAGGTGGAGGAATCAGTGGGGGCTGCATGGGGTCAGGGTGGTAGTTTTGGTGAGGAGTGTTATTGGAAGCAAAGAGGGTCTAGGTAACATCAAGGATGAGGTATCCTTTATGTCCTTTCAGAACTTTAGCTAAGCTTTGGGCCTCTCACAAATTTGGACTCAGGTCCCTGCCCTAAAACTACAGCTCCCAGAGACAGAGCTGGTATTAGACCAGCTGGCCCTATTCCTTCTAGAAAGTGCAGCTTCTGTGTCCCTCTCTAAGTCCTTGGGCTCAGGCTCATGTTGGGAGGCATGGTACCTGGGAACTGTGGTCCTCAAGTCCCCATTAAATCCAGAGAGAACTAGTTAGGGTGAAGACCACTCTTGGCCACAGTGTCACCGAGGCCTCAAAGATGGTGAAGGATCTCAGGAGACCCTCCCTCGTGCTATGTCCAGAAGTCCTGCCCCTCCAGCAGCCAGGAGCCAAGTCTCAGTGGAACTGAGTTCCCAGGATGTATTCAGGTTACCCAAACCCACCCAGGAGGCTAAATTACAAATAAACTGTACCAATCTACTGAATACAAACCAAATATCAATATTAAGGATATTATTTAAAGTAAACACACTCAATGAACCCATTATGAACTGAAAATCTGTCCTCCCTCCACCCCATATTTTCTCAGTCCCCAAAACTGAGTCATCTAAGTATTCTTCAGTACAAATTGAACTATATTTCCTTTGGCTCAATCTCCAGAAACCATAGATCAGGGAGTTTCTGCCCACGAGCAGTTATTTTAACACATGCTTACTTCATGCTTACTATGAACCAGACACTGTTCTAAGGACTTTATAAGTATTAACTCACTTATCAGTGGGACCTGGGTTCTCCTCTCCACCTGCCCAAGGTTGGTAAGAATGGGGGAGCAGGGAGCCGAGGGAGGCTGACGGAGTGTCTCTCTGGCTAGAGCTCCCTCCTTCCGGCTGCCCCCCGATCCCAGCCTGCCCTGCATACTGGTGGGCCCCGGCACTGGCATCGCCCCCTTCCGGGGCTTCTGGCAGGAGCGGCTGCACGACATTGACAGCAAAGGTGAGGCTGGGGGCTGAGGAACTGCTGGAAGGCAGGAAGGAGCCATACAATCTAGGGACAAAGGGGTGAGGCCAGAAGGCAGGCACCAGGTAGGAAAGAGAGGGCCAGAAACTGGGGTCACAAAGGGGAAAAGCAGCTCATTAGACCAAGGGGAGGGAGGGCCTGGAGGCGAGGGCCAGGCTTGTCTGTCCGGCCTCCTGGTGCCTGGCACACAGTAGGTGTTGAATTTGGTGAAGAACAGAGGGAAATGGAAGTTTGCAAGGGATAGGGACTCAGAGGACAGAAGAAATGCCCCAGGTGGATTCTGGACTGTGCCAGAGGTCACTGAGGTGCGTCCAAGGACTAAGGAAGCTACAGGGCATTCAGGTTGGGCATGGGGCGCCCAGGGTAGTTGGTCAATCAAAAGAAAGGGACTGAGAGGAAGGCTGAAAGTGCAGGAGCTCAAGGTGTGGGAGGACAGGGGGCTGGATGGAGCAGGGAAGGGGACCGCGATGTTCCACAAGTCAAAGAACATGGAATTCTGCGGGGAGGCCCCGCGTTCCAGAGCAGCTCTACCACTCATGTGAGCTTTGGTTTCCGTCTCTGGAAATCAGGAGTGTGGCAGGGTCTCTCAAAGCATCCTGCACTCTCCTAGAAGCCAAACAGCCAAGATAGCGGTGCTTCAGCCCCAAAAGCCGGGCTGTCAGCCTGGGCGAGGGTGGCAGTGGGGAGGCGTCAGGAAGGCTTTGCTAAGGCTGCATCCCAGGGGAGGGAGTCCTCCCAAGACCCAGAGTCACTTGCAGGGCTGCAACCCGCCCCCATGACTTTGGTGTTCGGCTGCCGATGCTCTCAACTCGACCATCTCTACCGCGACGAGGTGCAGCACGCCCAGCAGCGCGGAGTGTTTGGCCGCGTCCTCACCGCCTTCTCCCGGGAACCGGACAGTCCCAAGGTGCGGGAACCTGAGGGCACGTGGGTCACCTTAAGATAGGGAAAGGGAAGGAGTTGTGTTCGCCAGCAGGGCGCAGCCCCCACTCTCCGCCCAGCCCCTCCGCGGCCACTCACAGAGCACTCAGCCACCCGCCCCGACTCGGCCCCACCTGGCCGGCCCCCGGCCCCTCTAGTCCCTACCCCAGGGCACGCGGCCCCGGCAGTCTCCGGAGTTTTCACACCCAGGGCCCGCCCGGCGCCCCTAACCCGCCTCCCCTCAGACCTACGTGCAGGACATCCTGAGGACTGAGCTGGCTGCTGAGGTGCACCGTGTGCTGTGCCTCGAGCGGGGCCACATGTTTGTCTGCGGTGACGTCACCATGGCAACCAGCGTCCTGCAGACGGTGCAGCGAATCCTGGCGACCGAGGGTGACATGGAGCTGGACGAGGCTGGCGATTTCATCGGCGTGCTGCGGGTGCAGAGGGGTGGGGCGGGGCCGAGGGTGGGGGGCCCGGCCAGGGACGTGCCGGGTTCCTGCTGGGATCTCTGACTCGGGTTCTGACCCACTGAGCTCTTTCCGGCAGGATCAGCAACGCTACCACGAGGACATTTTCGGGCTCACACTGCGCACCCAGGAAGTGACAAGCCGCATACGCACCCAGAGCTTTTCCCTGCAGGAGCGGCAGCTGCGGGGCGCAGTGCCCTGGGCGTTCGACCCCCCTGGCCCAGACCCCTCCAACCCCTGAGAGCTCTCTGGCTTATGCACTCCAGCGGCTGCCACACTTCAGTCGGCCTGACCAGAACCAACAGCTCTCCCTTCCCTCTCGAGGTGCCTTCCAGCGTCCGTCCGGAGGCTGCAGAAATTCAGCCTTATTCCCCCAGGAATAAGCAAATATCTGTCTCTCCAGGACCGTTTCCGCTAGCCTGGGTCTGCATAAATCTGGAAGGCCTCTCCCAGCAGTGGTATTCCAGGGCTGACTGCTACCCACTTCATGGTCTTCATGAATTTTAGATTCCCCTCACCTCCCTCAGGAGTATCTTACCCTTAAGGCCTAATCTCTAAATCATTCAAATATTTATTATTGAAGATTTACCATAAGAGGCTGTGCCAGATGTTATGAGATATTGAGATGCCTACTCCAGCCTCTGTCGATTACAATTGTAAAATGACAAGTTTCCTCTTTTAATTTGTGTAGATGTTGGGGGGTGGGTAATTCTTTGACAGGGAGGCCTACACACTCCATCTAAGCCAGCACTCTGAAAGCATGGTGTCCAGCCAGTCGAGGCAGCTCTCCAGTGGTTTCCTTGCTCTTGATGGAGAAAGCAGGTGCAGCCCTCAGCTGCCAGGAGTGGAGATGCCAGTGACTATGTCACAAAGATGCACAACACAGCCATGAACAATCTTTACTGTTTGTCTCATACAGGTTGAGGGGCACACCCACTTCCTCAGGCATCATGCTGGTGCTGAAGCACAAAACATCAGCCTCTCTAAAGTCTTTCCTCTCTCAAGTTCCACCCCCACCCCGCGAGTCCCATGGGAACCTGAAGGACAGGCCGGCCTGACCAACCCACTGCCTCTTTGTTTCCCTTACGTTTATAAAGCTTGGCCTCCGCCTCGGCCCTTGCCCTCCACCTTGAGGATACTCGGGGACTTCTTCCCAGGCAACCTCTCCAAGATAGCTAGGTGAGGGGGGTGTCCCCTTATCCCCTCCGTGTGGGGACCATCTCTAGGCCTTGTTTCCAGAGACCATCGGCATCTCCCCTCCTACCCTTTCTCTGTTCTCCAGGGCGAGTTCCTCACTGAGCCCCAGGTCCTGCCCAACTAAAGCATCCTTGGCCTGTTGTTTGTGGGGGCCTCTAAAGATGGCTCAGTGTCCTTCCACTCCACCCCATCCATCTCCTGTGGCTGGAAAAGCCAGGGAACCTGGGGAAGGAGAAGGCTCTTTGCAAGCAGTCCAGGGGTCTAGGTTCTAGAGACTACCCCCATCACCCCAAATTCCCACCACTGTTCCCATCCCTCTATGTCTGGCTCCAAACCAATTTCCTACTCACTGGTGCCCCCCTCCCCCAAAGTAGACAGTACTGACCCTGAAAAGTCCTCTCAGTCAGTGCTAAGGGCCTGGCCAGTATCCTTCGGAGTGTTTGTGGTGTCCTGAAACTCTCCAGGGAACAGATTCCGGGTCCTCTGGGTTCCCCACTGCTGTCTGGGGCTGGAGGCAGGACTGGAGCCTGACAACAAAAGCCATCAGCTGAGCAGAGCCATGATGCCCACAGCATACCCAGGATCTGCCCTCTGTATGCCCCGCCCTCCTCACCATCACTTGACCAGGATGGCTTCTCCTCATTAGGCGAGGGCGTCTGCGAGGGGCTGGACCAGGGCCTGGACAGGGAGGAAGCTGAAGCCTCCCCCCATGGTTCTTGCTGCTGCTGCTGGTGAAGCTACATGGGAGGGAAGAGGAATGAGGGGCTCCTTCCTGTCCCTGAGGACAAGAACAAGCCCCTGGGCCAAGAGCAGAGAGACTTTAAACCTCCTCTTACAGCTTCTGTTAGGTACTACTTCAGACTCTAGCCCTCTCCTAGGTCTCCATTTTGTTCACATGCTTGCTCCCTACATTTCTCTGTCACCGTGAAACCTCCTCTTACAGCTTCTGTTAGGTACTACTTCAGACTCTAGCCCTCTCCTAGGTCTCCGTTTTGTTCACATGCTTGCTCCCTACATTTCTCTGTCACCGTACCTCTACTCACCTGGTGCAGGTAGATGGCATGAAGACTCATCTCAGCAGAAGCAAGCTCTGGGAGCTGGGCCAGCTTCTGGCCCCCAGTGCCTCCCGGGGACACACAGCTGGAATACAGGATGCAGCAGATCAAAAGGCATGCCCTAGTCCCTCCCCTGCCCCAGCACCCCTCAGGAAAGCAAGGCTGGATTTCCGCCCCCAAATCCCCTTCAGTGCCCAGTTCCCTCCTCCTGGAGGATCAGCCCCTCCCACCACACCCCTGTATCTCAGGCCTCCGCGGCTCACCTGCGGTCCTGGGCGATGCGGGAAATGGAGGCAAGGAGGCTGGCTGTGGCAGCAGCTGGACAGGGGGCTGTGGGGCTCAGGTCCCTCGGTGGCAGGAGGGGATGCACCAAGAGGTTGGCCAAGAAGGTCTCCGGCTGGGAGTCAGAGAAGAGGGAAGCTAAAGAGGGGGTCATAGGGAGGACAGAAAGGGAGGGAGGAGGAAGAGGTGGTCTCCAGGCAGGCAGGAGGGCAGGCTAGATGGGGGGCAGGTTAACAGGAAAGGTGAGGCTAGAGGGGAAGGGAGAGAGGAGGAGTCAAGGGTGGTGAGGGTAGAAGGGCAGGCCAGATTCAGGACTCACCAGAGGCGAGGTGGAGGTGCTGAGCACCCCTGGGGTCGGGGGGCTGCGAGCGGAGGTGGCGCCCCAGGCAGCTGCATCTTGTTGTACACGTCCGCGAAGGTGCCCAAGGAACTTAGAGCTGTGCCCTGGAGGGCGCCATTGCGGATGTGCCAGGGAGAAGCGCATTAGAGAGAGCTCAGTCTTTCCATCCTCTGCACGCTGAGACATTGAGGCCTCCGTCTGTCCCTCTGAGAGCCACTGCAAGTAATGACAGTCCTTCAGGTGCTGTGGACACTGAGCCTCATGGGGGGTAGGCAGAACTGCCCCATTTTCCACATGAAAGAAACAGAGGCAACGACAGAGACTCATTCAAGATTACCCAAAAAATACAGCAGTAAAGCAGCCCCTGGGTCTAGACCCAGCTTGGAGACAGGGCCGGGCCTCAGTACTTTGCCCACCTGTGCAGACTGGGTCCCCACGGTAGTCCTTTTGGTCAGGAGGCCATTCCCAACTCAGCCCCACCCTCTGACCGCCCCATTTCTTGGCCTCTCCAGTGTCTTTGATCCCATTTACTGACATTTCTATGTGCCAGCAACTCCACTGAGAGCTCTACAGACATCATCTTATGTCATCCTCACAACAAGCCTGTGCGTTGGCTACCGTCATTGTCCTCATCCAATAGATGAGAACACTAGGACACAGGGAAGTGATGTGACTTGTTCAGGGTCACAGGTGGCAAGTGATAGAGCTGGGGTTGGAACCCAGGCCTGCTTTGCGTGACACAAGCAAACTCCTACCCAGCACGACCCCACACAGCCAGGGAAGGGGTCCAACCTGAGGGTGGCCGTGGCGCTTCACATCCATAAGGGCAAAGGAACAGATGTCCCCAACCCCAGCCACATCCACAGTGAAGTGATGAAAAAAGTCAATAATCTCCAGGGCACGAGGGCGAAACCAGAAGATGAGAAACAGCGGGGTGAGGAGCGGGGACAGGAGCTCCTCCAGGAGGGAGACCTGTGGAAGCAGGGGTGAGGCTGAGCAAGGTTTGCAGGAGGGCCCACACTAGTGATGAGGGCAAAGGAGCCCCCCAGGATACTCGCCAGGGCAGGAAGCCTCCACCCAACCCAGTTACTCCCTAAAGCTCCCCGGAGAGCCAGCCCTACGCCCTCTCCCAGACAGACCACCCACCCCCCTCTGCACGGCCCCCTACCCCCACCCCTGGGACCGCGACCCTCACCGCTCGGTACTGCAACAGCTGCGCCATCTGCCGGTAAGCGCTGGCCCTGCCGCCAGGGCCAGGCTCCTCTGGGAGGTAGTGCATGTGGGCCAGGGCCGCCTGCAGCAGGAGCTGCGGGGCACGACCCTGGCACTGCTCTTCGGGAATGAAAGACCTGGAGGGCGGGATCCCGGGGAAAAGGGTTCTGCGGTTAGGAGGTCGTGCGATGCAGGGCTGGGGGGCGCTGGCGGTGGGAGAGGTAAGAATTCGCAGGGCGGGGGGAGTGGGAGCTTCACTCAGCCCAGGTCAGAGAAACGGACACAGCCTCCCACCCCACGCCCCCGGGCATATGCCGTCGCACCTAGCCACGGTGGCCGTGACCCCGAGCGCGGTCATGGCGGTGAGCACGTGCTCCACGGCGAGCACGTCCTCGTCGTAGACCGTGAGCACCAGCAGCGCGGCGAAGAGCGCGCCAGCGAAGAAGACGAGCTGGCGGGCCAGCAACGCGCGCAGAGGCGCGGGGGGCGCGGCGGCGCGCAGGAAGGCGGCGGCGGGCCGGTAGGCGCGGG